TTTTATTTTCATTACAAAAAAGTAAAACCATGTCATTTTATTCTACTTAAGCCCAAAAACAAAATTCATAACTTGATTATGCCCAAGTCACACTACTTAATTAGACCGGCTCATATCAGGTCAAATCTTTCCGGTTCAGGCAATGAACTGGATTGAACAAGCGGCTAGGTCTCTAGGTCCTATCCGATATTGCATTCATTGATTATGGGCGCCACAAAATATTTTGTTCCCCATATGTTGTCTGGCAGATGGCAGGACATTAGGTTATAGGACATAGAGAGCAAGAAATTAAAGTGCATGTGCGATTGAGGGTAAGTGTACCAAAGCGTGAGAAAATTGTACATACGATTAGCAAGCCAAACTAATTTTATATTATGTGAGAGTGAGGTGGATCATTAGTATCTAGGTTTTCGACCGTGTGCCATGTTAAATATCAAGTAACCAGATGGTTCTTTTTTTCGGAAAAAAAAATGGCATAATAAAGTTTCAAATAATTTACAAAATATCATAAACATCACTTTAAGGAAATACCGGCCTGAGTGGTACTAGTACCTTGTCTTAGAAGTTAATAAACCGGTACATATGAACAAGTCATGTTTTATTGCAACAGGCATGGTAATCTGACATCATTTGGGAGGAAGATCCTGATGTATACACGCAGTGCATATGTACATACCCAAGAGTGTGTGCTCGTACATTAAATGTGTGTGTGTTTTTTTTCGGTGAAGTGATGCTTATTGTTTGTTAGAAGAGAAGGGTGCCGTAAAATTAAAGAAGTTATTTAGCCTCAGGAGAAAGCGGAAAGGAGGATGGGGATTGCATGCACCTAAATCATAATGCAGCCGCACAATAATGTTAATGTCTAAAGAACCTGACAGTAACAGTAGCAGTAACACCATATTTTCTGTTTGCTTACAGTGGCCCCAACCATTGTACATTATTCTTCCTACTTCAAAAATTACTTTGTAAACCTTGAAATTTAATTACCCTGAATTCCTAACCATCTGATAACTAGCTAACTCGATCGAAAGGCCTCCCTTCCAGAACCTCTTAATTCAGATTTTCACCCGTTATGGTCATCTGATCTCTCCATTCTCTATTGATACTAATTATAGCATGGCTTCATTTACTTTCAGAGCTAAAATATAATTAGGAGAGGTGATAAGCGTGATCAATAATCAACATCAATCCTTAGCTCCCTAGTCTCTTCCTTATAAAGAAATATTTGCTCATTTTTGTCAGACAAGTGTTGCCCTAGGATTCAAGAGGGGTCTGAGAAGGGACAATTATTAACAACAGGACCAAGTTGGAGGGTGTGGCAGAGGACTAACATGAGCTTGTCGGTTGTTCTGCAAGACAAACTCATTCTGATTTCTGAGTGTAAACCACCGTATCCTGTTCCTTCTATAGTTGGTTTCCGTGGGGATGGATGGCTGGTAGGAAACATTACACTCTTGGCCCTCCCTCCCACCTTGGAATCTTCTTTCTCGTAGCCCTTTTCTCTCTCAATTTAATATTAAGATCCGAGGTTTCTCCTTTAAATCTTAATCGTTATCTTAACAAATCTTTCCAGTTATTCTCTGTATTCTATCTTTTTGCTCTTTCTTTCTCTCTCCCCAGCTTTTGCAGGTGCAATCAAGCTTTTCTGCTCTTCAGGCTCTTCTTTAGGTTCTCTAGGGACCCAGCTCCTAGGCTTGTATTTCAATAAATTACTATGCCAGGTTGAACCCTTTCTCTTTTTGGTTTTTGGTCTCTTGTGCGAAGTTATCTTTTTTGCTTTAGTGAAATTAAACTACTTTTTTCTACATAAAACAGTATAATCACTCACTTATGTCTCTGGGAGTAGGGTTGATTAGTAAAATCAGTTGGTGGGTTTAGCACCCAGAACGTCAATATCAGAATAAGGAAAGAAAAGAATAATAGTAGGTGTGCACTGTGTCTGCTAGCTAGTAATTATATCTTTGATTAATTAAAGATTTCTCTTCCATAAGATGGGATGCATTTCATTAGGGTCGAGCTGCTCACACAGGAGGATCCACAGCCACAATAGCTCTAATTAGAGCAAGATCATGAAGAAAATGATCAAGGTTTAGAGCTTAGAAATACACAGCTTAATTAGATGGGAGAACTCAGTGACCAAGATAAGAAAATAGAGATGACAACCACTCCGATTTATGATGACGATCACCCCAAAAGGAATTCTTCAGAACACCATCATCTTTATTTTCCTCCTCCATCGAATCATCTACAAGGTGATCCATATCCAAGCTTGACGATCGTTAAGTACAGAGAATGTTTGAAGAACCACGCAGCGAGCATGGGGAGCCATGTTGTGGATGGATGTGGAGAGTTCATGCCAAGCGGAGAAGAAGACGCCACGGAATCTTTAAGATGTGCTGCTTGTGGATGCCACCGGAATTTTCATCGGAAAGAAACAGAAGGTAAGCCAGAAGTACAACATATTTCTGATTATTACAGCTATTATTCCAACAAAAGCAACGATCAACGACATAGAATTGCTTCTCCTTTAGTCCCTTCTTCTCTTCATCAGCAACATAACAGATTGATTCCACCAATGATGGTGGCCTTCGGAGGGGTGCCAGTGGAGTCCTCCGGCGAAGATCTCCATGTTCTGCGGCCTAATAGCGGAGGGCAGCTGGCAGTGCAGGCATCACTCTCGAAGACGAAGAGGTTTCGGACCAAGTTTACACAAGAACAGAAGAGGAGGATGATGGAATATGCTGAGAAGCTTGGGTGGAAGATCCAGAAAATGATGAACAAGAAGTACGGCAATTCTGTTCTCAGGTTGGAGTGAACAGGCAGGTTTTCAAGGTTTGGATGCACAACAATAAGCAAAGGACGAAGCAGCAGCAAGTGTAAGCCAAGAACCCTCAATCTCCCAAATTAATAATGCTGTTTGGAAAAAAAAAAAATAACAACAACAATATCAGAATTTCTGAGTGAAGAATTAGTTTACAGTTGTCTTCTTTGAAATAACTCGTGTTCTTTGACTAAAAATAGACGGTAATAGAAATATGCATTTCCTTCTCCTCCCCATCTGACCAAGGATTTAACAAAACAATATATACATATATATGTGTGTGTGTGGACAATTTTCACAACTAGCTACTTTGGACTTTTGTTGTTGGGTGAAAAGCTACTTAGGAAATTAATCTCCTTAGAAGACCTTGTTATCAGCAAAAGCTAAGCAGTGACAGTAATCTCCTTAGAAGGCCTTTCCTTGTCATGTCTTATGAACCCTTTAATCATGGAAAACTGGGTTCCACTGTAAACCCATACACTTTCTTGCAGATTTTTGGGACAAAGAAATCCCACCCAACCATGCTATCTGGTCCTCTAATAGGGACACCGACACATGAATTAGCGGACATCGTAGCCCGCTTTTATCTCATGTTGTCTTTCTGATTTGTATGAGGTTGTGTATATTGTGTCTTGTGTACCCAAACGAGCCAGGGACAAAACCTTAGAAGACATTCGCACGTTTAGTTGCTCAGGGAAAGAGTATAAGGGCTAGAGATAGAAATTTGAAAAATCCATAGCACTGGCAGACTCAAAGAACAACAAGCCAATTCAATTCCCTAAAGTCAAAAGGTTGTACATATATGTTGTTATTTCCGACTGTGTAATAATTTAGGGCAATGGTTAAAATTTTATTCATTGAAGTTGAACTCAACAAAATGCAAATGGTTTTATAGGGGAGGTTTTTATTTCTTAAGGATTTGTTTGTTGTTAATTACTTGTCAGATATCTTTAGATTTCTCTAAACTGCATTTTCACTTGAATAATTTCAGGAATTATTCTCTTATATATCAATCTAATTAACGAATTTAAAATTTTATTCTATGAACCAAAAGAGAAAACCCCCCATCATTTTACCAATGTTAATGAACCATGATTTTCCTCGTCCTTTACAGAAAAAGAACTAGTTATCCTTTCAAATCATCCACAGAAAATTGACTCAAAATAATCTTGGTAGTCACAATGCCCTAGGAAATTAAATAGCTGCGTGGTAACTTTTGTGTGGCACAATATAGAAGCCTGTCCAACCTCTCCAATTGGTGCCCCGCGAAGGCCACACAGATGACAGACCCATGAATAGAACCCTGAATCAACATATATGAATTATGAACACCCCCAGAGAAAATGATTTTCTTTTTGTTCCAAGTCATTTTTTATTGCTTGATCATATATCTATATATAGCTTAAACATTAATACAAAGTAAAATACTATCTTCGGTTTTAATTATAAGAACTTATTTGTAGTCTATAAACGAGGTCTTATTATTAGGATCGGAGGTAGTACAATCTTTGTGGGTTGCTGCATCTATCTGCTATTAAATGCTATCAAACAGATCAAAAGTAAAAGATTAAATTTGAGGGAAGAAGATAATTAAAACAAACCCTAATGTCTCTAATAAATTAAAGTTGGGAAACCAAGCAAATTAAATGAGTCTCCCTCATCCTGAAGCGATGAAACACTCACTTTTCCCCAGAAATTAAAAATACTTTTTAGCAAAAGGATAAGTATTGCAATGTTCTATAAACTTTAGAAATCACATTTCAAACAAGTTTCACGTTGCGGCATGGAAACTGGGAAGAGGAAGGAATTATTCAACCTATATTAAAATTAGGATTTTCTTTTGGAAACAGACTAGAATCGTCCCAGGGTAGAAAAGAATTCGCAGCTCACCACCTCGCCATAATTGATCGAGTAGTCTTTGTTTAATTGGTTGGGAAAATGTTATCGTTGGTTTGCCCAACCCGTTGTGAGAGGGACGACATATGACTACAATGCTTCTAATTAACAGTTATTCCGCTGTATATTCTCTTCATCCGTACGTATGAACAAATCATCCAAGTTGCTGTCTAAAAAATAGCACTTGGCCTTGCAATTAGATCACCAAATCACATGAAATGAAAATAAGAGAATTAATTAATCCAATAACAGAAAACATACCAGTAATTCACCGGGAAGCAACTTAAACCTATTAAACAATCCCGCTTTCAAATCATAATGCCTTTCTCAGTACATTAAATATTAAAAGGAAAATTACTGGCCACTTTGAACATGGCCGAATAAGGATATATATGTAGAACTTGACAATACACAAACCATAACGTACAAAGACCGTGAGCTCCCAGCACCATAGGGCACAGGAAGCGAAATGAAAAGGCCTTCTAACGTAACATGACATGCTGTGTTGCATCTATATCTCAATCAAACAACACTAGACGCACCACCGACAAAAAAACTAAATACTATAGCAAGCACTAAGCATCAAGATTGTCACATGCACCTTCAATTCATAACTCTTTACCCAGCTCAGAGATTGGCCGCGGGCTGCGACATCGTTTGTTTGAAAGACTCGGCTTTTTCAGTGACGGTGTCCTTGGCGATCTTGGCAGTCCCACCCACGGTCTCTGTGGCTTGTGATACTTTGCCTCTCATGTCCATAGAATCTGCCTTTTCAATGACGGTGTCCTTGGCCACCTTGGCTGACTCACCCACGTTTTCTGTCGCTCGTGATACCTTGCCCTTCATGTCTGCAGATTGGGCCTTTTCAATGACGGTGTCCTTGGCCACCTTGCCCGCCTCGCCGGCGTTTTCTGTAGCCTGTGATACTTTGCCTTTCACGTCTGCAGACTTGTCAATGACGGTGTCCTTGACCACCTTGGCTGCCTCACCGGCGTTTTCTGTAGCCCGTGATACTTTGCCTTTCACGTCCGCAGATCCGGCCTTTTCAATGACGGTGTCCTTGACCGCCTTGGCTGCTTCACCGGCGTTTTCTGTAGCCTGTGATACTTTGCCTTTTACATCCGCAGATTGGGCCTTTTCAATGACGGTGTCCTTGGCCATCTTGGCTGCCTCACCCACGTTTTCTGTAGCCCGTGATACTTTGCCTTTGACGCCTTCTTTTGCGTCAGAAGCCGTTTCGGATGCCTTGTCCATCACATTGGTTGCTTGTTCCTTGGCATTTTGCGCCATTTCTGAAGCTTTCGCCTTCGCCGTCTGCATCTGCTCACCAGCTTTGTTGTAGGCTTCGGTCGCTGCGTCTGTGGAAGCAAGAATGCACACAGACATTAATCTCTTCTGCCATTAATCTTGTTCTCTATTTCATTGTCCGTTCAGCTATATATATATATATATATATATATATATATATATATCTTATCTGACATTCTAGAATGTTGCTGGAATGACAATGGATGAGAAAACCCCCGATTAATTACCTTGGATCTTGTTTGTAGTATCATCGGTAGAAATTTTCTGGGTTTGAGCCACTTGTTGATCTCCTTCCTCCTTCTTCAAGCCGATAGTTCTGGCACAAGAACGATGTGTGAATCAATAAACAAAGTCATACAGTTTCGCCTAAAATGAGTAACTCATGATGAATCCGCATGATGAATACTTGTGAAGCAGAACAAAAAGGTCTTAGTAAGGGGTGTTAGATTTTTCTTTTGCTTTTTTTCTTTTTGGATACTAAGAGGGGTTTGATTAGAGGATATAAAAATGAGAAATTACTCGGAGAACTTGTCATAAGCCCAATTAGCCCATGTCTCGGTGGTTTCCTTGGCATCCTCGACAACGGCTGGGGCCGCCTGCTGGGCCTCCTCTGCTTTCTGTTGGGCTGCGTCAGCTACCTCTTCAACTCCACACCTGCACGTTCCTGCGCTCACTGCAATCACCAACATCACCAGCAACACCTTTGCGTTTCCCATCTTTTTCTTCCTCTTCTTCCTCCTCCTCTTCCTCCTGCTTCTGCTTTCTGCTCCGTTTCGTGTTATTATAATAAGATTTCCCCCCGGGGGAGGGGTCCACGTGGACCAAGTGGAAACCTTGATTTTTTGACAAGTGTTCCAAAAGGCATCGAATGTCGCCGCTTTTCACGCGCCTTCACCGGTCTTGCTCCCCAACCTCAAATTCATCACCACCATAGCCCCCCTTGTCGTGTCACTGCTAGCGTTCAATTTTTTTAGTATCTCCATTCATTTTTTTGGTAAAAAACATATTATTACCGATATTAAGAGTGTCATTTTTTTTGGGGGGGGTGGGAGTTTTTGACACGCATACATCTCTTCGCCCATCAAGCTACACAGAGATAGTATCTAGTAAATTTTTTGATGCTAATACCTTTTCAATACTGTATAAATATGCCTGACATCTAATTTACATATTATTTGATGTATGCCGTCAAATATTTCCAAGCTATGAACCCAATCCCACCCCGCGCGCATGAGCTGGCTAGGTTGTTTCTGGTTCATTTAGTAGTATTCCTTCTTCAGCCTAGTTTAATCCAACGCACGCATAAACATTTTTATAAACTAACGAAGCAAGTAAAATGGTTGTGATTTGCTGGGCAAAGTATGAATATTAATGCTAGCGTTTTTTTTTAGCCTTAAGGGTTGCCCTAGGCCTCTAACTCTAATATTCAGATCCCAATTTCACTTTAGCCTTTTGTATTGAAAAAAAGAGTAATTTGAATTAAAACTAGACATATTTACCCATGCATCACACAAAGTTTGATAAATAAATTGTTTTATTTGAACTTGAGAATCATTCTTACCCAAAAAAAAAAATCTGGTTTAAAGTGTGAGCTGCGTATGAATAATCAACGGAAAGGATTATGCTTAAGGACAAAATTTATCAATTATTTATTTTTAAAGACCGCTAATTATAATTGGAAATACCCATTTTTTGCTTCTAAATTTGCATTGTTTAAATAATAATTCTCCCAAGATTAAATGTTTTTGGAACATATCCACATGTAATGGAGCAAAAAGCTATTTACTACTATTTATTTATTGAGGAGTCGTTTTAGTATAGGTAGGAAATTTAAAAAAAAAAAGAAAAAGAAAAATAAAGGAGCACATTTTATGCTCATCACAATAATAAGCATGTAGTGTCTATGGCAATTTAGGCTATTCAACTCAATTTTGGATGGTCTTGAATTCAAATTTTTTATACATTTTAAATAATTTTTTATTTTAATACATAAATAATTTAAAATAAAGATAATCTTATAACAAACACATCTCTTAAAAAATAAATGTATTATTAAAAAAAATTGTACATTAAAAATTTTAAATTTAAATTATCTATATTAGATTTTGAATTGTCTAGATTGTATATCGTTGCAATCTCTATCAGAAGAAAATATTTTTGACTTCTTCCAGTAAAACTAGTGTTTTGTTATATATTAATACCATAAAAATATCTCTTGCTATGTTCTTTTCTCTAAAAGAAACTTTTCATGCGGTGAGTGCCAGTAAAGATGATTCATATCATATCATATCATACCAGATCAAACGAGCGAGTGGAGAATCCAATCTATCCCAACGAATGAACATCCCCGATCCTTTTATATCGTTAACAAACCGACACTTTATGCCCCTTCGCTTGTCCTTTTGTGCAACACAAAGGTTTTTTTTTTTTTTTCCCCCTGGCATCACGAGGCCACTCTAGGTATAAGCAGAACCTGCTGGTTTGCGCTCCCAAGTTGAATGACTCTATGAACTGTAACGACATATTTATAGAGCATGGCAGGGGATGAGAGGTAATATTATATCAAAAGTGCATCTATCACTGTAAGCTTCTTCTGAAATGCAAAAATACTCATAAACTTATAAAATTAGAGCAAAAATGACATTTCCTTTAAATTTGACTAACGACCGTTACTTTTTACGGTTGAGTCATGCTAATATTATGAAAGTACTAAAATGTCCCTAATTAAAAGAAACAAAAAGAGGATGAAGGTGCATAAATATCTATAAATTTTTAGCCAAAGTACGTCAAATACCATATATTTTTTTACAACTGCAAAAATACTAATGACCATGCAGATAAATTAATCCTTTAAGTTTTAGCAAAAAAATCTATTAAGTTTTATCATACTAGTATAATACAAATAATTTTATGATTAATTTGTACATTTGGTTCTCTAAATTCAGGAAGTTTTAATTCAGTTTCTCAAATATATAAAATATATTTTCAGTAATAAATATTAACACTATTGGCCTTATTAAGAAGTGTCATGAATGTGAAAATAAATTGATTATTTTATTTTTTTTAAGTATTATACTATTATACTTTAAGACCTATAAATTTGCGTCGAGTTTTAATTTAATTTCTTAAAATTATAAAGTTTATTTTTAGTCCATTAATGTTTTTATATATTGAGCGATGGGTTGTTGGTGTTAAAAATCAAACCACATCTTTATTAGTTTTTTTAAAAATATTTTTCAATTTACAAATTTTAAATTAAAGAAACTAACAAGGTTAACATTAAGGGAACAAAAAATACACTTTATAAATTTAAGGGGTTAAATTAAAACTTGATGTAAATTTAGAAGACCAAACATATATATTAACCATAAAATTATTAGTATTATAATAGTATAATAAAATTTAATAGTGTTTTTTTTTGTTACTAAAACTGAAAGTATTAATTTATTTGCATGGTAAGTGGTACTTTTTACCTGAGAAAAAAACTCATGGTATTTGTTGAATTTTAACTAAAAGTTTATAAGTATTTTTGTATCTTTGCCCCTTTTTTTTCCCTGAGTTAATGGCATTTTGGTGCTTTCATAACACTAGCATGAGCCTCACTGCAAAAGTAATTGTCGCTAGTCAAATTTAACTGTAGTGTTATTTTTATTCTGATTTTACAAGTTTATAAGTATTTTTGTACTAAAAAATTATAGTGGTGGGTACACTTTTATTACAAGTTTATTTAGACCATGAGCCTTAATTAATTTAAAAGAAAGAAAAGATTTATAAAAAGCCAATCATACTGCCCGGTGCCGGGAAATATCACCGCCTATGCGCACTCGAATGCTCACATTTTTATCATTTTTACTTCTCAAAACCATTTCGAATTTTCATGTTCCATCTGTTTCTATTTCTTTCGTTTCTTTTCTCCCATCGTCGCGATGGACCTCGACGATTCAGCACCATGATTTTCATTTACTCCATTCCCACTGCATAACACAAATCTTCATCCTTGGTTTCAGATGCGCCAAACGGTTTCGTCGGAAACTTCTTGAGAGGCAATTGCGCTTCACTCTTCAGGTTCATATCAGTTGCTGTCTTTTAATGCTGCATTAAACTTCAATCGACGCCATTATTTCTTCCTTGCTATATTTCTTTTCTTATGTGGTTATTTGCCCTGATTGCTGCTATCACTTCATTATCATAGCTTCTTTGTGACTGTTGTGATAATGCGCTTCAAAATCTCTCACAAGCTCAGTAGCGTTTCGCTTTCTTATCTATAGTAATAATGAGTAGTTTGTTTGGTTTTCAGAAGATATGCTGTTCAATAATCTGCTGTTTCAATGCGGTCTTTGCTTAAACAATCATTATGTAATTCACCATTCATGTTTTGAGTTCACGGATCACCTTACTGTTACTGTTGAAAACCACGCCAAGATAGGAATCTTGTACGGTCGACACCTTTTGATGGATAGCATTTATTCGTAGGTAGGGATATAAGCTCTTCATTAATTAATACGGAGTTACGGACAAAGAATAATATTGATTTACATACATAGAGTAATTGGACAAGACCTCAACGTGGACAGATATTGTTTTACAAGGAAAGGAAGAAAAACAGGCTAGAAGACCATAATAATCACATGGCAGCGTGCAGTTGGACTCTTGTACAGTGTTGTTTGACGATACTTTCGTTTATTTAACTTTATTTAATAATCATCAGTAACATGCTGCAGCTTCTTAAGTTGGAGTTAGGACGCTTAAGAGCCTGCCACGCACAGAGAAAAGAACATATGTCAGTAATCTAGTATTAAATGCATCCAGAAAGGTTTAAACATTAAAACTCAAAAACTACAGGGAACGAAAATATATTCAGATACCCTTGAGAATAGATGGTCTAGACTGTAGACTAATAGATAAATTGATGAACGATAATAGCTTATTGAGGATGGTACAGAATCTTCATGGACACATGAAAAAGGAATAAACGTTGTGGCTTGCTTCACTACCATTGGATATAGTTTGAAGCATGTGGCATAGGATGGTTAATAAATTATCTTGAATGGGCAGAACAGACTTAGAACCATGGACGAAGTCGGAGGAGGACATGCATAACATGTGAACAACAAGTTTGATGCCCATGCATGATATTTGCCTATTGGCAGAGGAATCTGTGGACCATATGAACTGGCATTTCAAGGCTGTCAAATCACGCTTCGCTATATTATTCCATTGACCCCACTACGATTAGTCCTTTCAAGTACCGCTGGACAAAGGCTTCTCGAAATAAAAATGAAATTCGCTTAGGAAAACTTGAATCACTGTTAAGTAGACAACCAGTAGTACCCCAACCGTTTATGCTTCTAACTCTTATGAAACAGGGAATGGAATACTTTTTATTTCTTCTTAGATGGTGATTTAATTATGCATATAATATCTAAAGGAATCGTGTAAATGATTAAACACGTTTTAGTGAAAATTTCAAAGACTGGTTAATTAGTGAGGAACGAGGGAGAAAGTGGAGCGATACCTGCGCTGTTTGTTTGGGAAGCCTTACGTGTTATTATTGTAGTGGGGGTAGGGGACTTGACCATGCTCTATGCGTTTGACATCTTCTTTGAGGATTTCATAATGCCTTTTGACCTCCTCCACAGATTTTCCCACCTCTCTGGCAACATTCTGCCACCTGTCAGGGGTTTCCCTATCGTATAAAGCCAGAGCTCGTTCAAATAGTTTGTTTTGCC